AGAGACAATGTGGGAGGAGGGTGGGACATGGCAGAGGGTGACGGATAGGGAATCAAGGATGGCAAAACAAAGTATACAAGACATAAGAAATGGAAAATTATTTGCTGATAACATGTATGTTGATGTGCTTGATTGAGCCAATACACAGTGTATTTTGGATGGAAAATTCATTGGTATGCTGTAATGATGTATAGTGAATTAATGTAAAAAATAAATAAATTTAAAGAGAAAAAAATAGATACTTCTAGATTATCTTTGTATGCTGTTGGAAATGATCCTAAAGAGATGTTTATTATAGTTAAATTTGTTTTAAGTTATACATATTGGAAGTCTTGAAACATTATCTTTTTAAATTTTTACAATAAACTAGTAATAATTGTTAAAAAAAAAAAACTTAGTTCTCCAATCTACCTACCTGCATTCATATTTTACCACCACCATTGGTATCTGTGTGAACTTGAATAAGATAATTTACCTCTCTGATCTTCAGTTTCCTCATCTGTAAACTGGTAATAATAACATTACCATCCAACCATGGTCTTATGCAAAGTAAGTAAGAGGACACCCACAACACACATAGGACAGTACCTGATATGTAGTAAAGTGCTTGTACTAATTAGTTATTACAATCTAACTTAGTCCTAACTAATCACTACATGGATTGATGAATCCATGTGGTAAGAGATAAAATCCCCACTTTGCAAATGAAGAAACTGAAGGTGATTATGTCACTTGTCCAGAATAGCAAGGGTCAGATGAAGATTTTTTCACTCATGTTGGTAGGAAGACAGAACTCATTATGCATTCCTATTTATTGTGCTTCTGATCACTCGATGCCTTGGTTGGAGATGAAGATAGTAGAGTGGGGGAGTAAGTAAGGCTGAAGTGTCAGGCTGCTCCCATTCAAATCTTGGTTCTGTCCTCGCTGAGCTGTAAAACACTGCACAATTTATTTACCATCTCTGAGCACATTATCATTTGTAAACTGGTGGTTTGCAAGATTGCTTTGGAGATTAAATAATGTAATCTATATGAAGTTCCCAATCAAGTGCTTGGCTCTGGATAAGTACTCAGCAAATGACTATAATCGTTTTAATTATTGTGATTGGAAGCAGCTGTCATAAACTGTACTTTAGAGTCTACACGTCAGTGGCCCCTTCTTCATGAAGTTTTCTCTTAACCCCAACCTCTCTACTGTTGAATTCCCCGTCATTAGTATGAATGGCAAGTCAAACAGAGAAGAGACACATGACTTGGAGGAGGAGATGGATCCTGCAGGGAAGAAGAATAAACAGGCAAGAGATAATAAATCAATGAAAACCTGGTAACTACTCCCCAAAAGACCAAGGCTTCCCATGGTCCAGACTTTCCAAAGAGTCAAAAATGCTTCCTAGGAAATAAATGGAAGGGTTCTGTCCTCAGCTTTTTGGGTCGACCTCAAGTATGCCCTTTTGGAAGACTCACACCCTCGACTGGTGGTAAAACCAGACTCCTCCTTGTCAGCATCTCTTGGGGCTAATGGTTCTGATGTTAGCACTTGGTTCAATGCATTTGGCTTCTCAAATCTATTCCTTGAATGCAAGTTGTTTATCAAACTGGTCAGAAAACCAAGAGACTCTTAACTGCAAAATCCATTATAAGGGAGGCAATAAGAGGTAAAAATATGATAGAAGTGTGTTGTAACAACATAGGTAAGCAGAAAATGCCATGTTTTCAAAGTAACATGAAAGACCATCTCTTCCATCACCCTGAGAAGTATTATTGTATTTTCCAGATGAAGAAACTAAATTCCAAGAAGGTTATGTTTTGTACTCCAAATCACTCAGGTAATAAAGGTTGTATCATGATATGAACCTAACCAAAAAGACCTGGACAAAATACAGATTAATGTGTATGTGGAGGCGTTATGGGTGACTTAAGTTTTCTTCTTTATATTTCTCTGTACATTTCAAATTTTCTCTACAGGGAAGTTGTTACTTGTGTAATAAGAAAAAAAAGTCAATGAAGTTACTAAAATTATATCAGGGCCCGGGCCAAAGCCAGGGAGAAGAACTTGGAGGCAGTAGGGAGAAGCCAGTGAAAAAGAGTCTGTTGTTCCTCCGATTAGGAAAACTAAGTTATTAGGTTGGAGTGTAGTTCACAGTGAGGGAGGAATGAGAGAACCAGACCAGGCCAGGATTCTGGATCCTCAGAGTCCAGAGAAGCTCAGTTTGAAGGGATCCAGGAAAGAAAACACTGCCTTAAAGTTGGCACAAAATCAAAAACTTAAGGCTAAAAACTTAAAACTAAACTTTGAGGCTGGACAGAATCCACAGTGGTGGGCCTCCAGAACTACTCTGTGTACCTGTGTGTTCTTCACCCATCTAACATTCTCAGGCCCACCCTCTGTTATTTGTGTTCCCATCAAGATGCCTGATGCAAGAGTATGGGAACCAAGGATGAGAAGGAAAACCAGGGTATAGAGAGGACAGTGCTCCAAGTCAATGAGGTGCAGGCAGAGATAGCTGAATCCTGTTGCCCAGTCAGTCCCTTTTTGTGAGGGACAGAGTTGCAGGACTTGAGATGTGAGGGAATTAAGAGAGAGCATGTTGGGAATTAATTCGGCAGGAAGTGTGGGAGGCTGCGCACCAGTGAATATTGCCGGTTTCTCAGAAAGTTAACAATTACACAATGCCAAAAGCCATGATTGGCTTCCCTTCAAAACCTGACCTTCGAAACCTTGCTCTGATTGGCCACTAGAATCCCTCAGATTTGCATATCCGGCACCTCATGATTGGTCCAAAAGCAACCAATCATAATCCACCTTTTACAACCAATCACGGCCCACCAGAGTGTATATAACCACGATGCCTGGCCCATAGTAGCCAGAAGACGACCAGGAAGATGACACAGACGACCAGGAAGAAGACAACGACCCTGGAGAGCCTGAAGAGCTGAAACACCACACAGTCTCCAGACTACCCTGAAGATTCTGAAGAGTTGTAACACTACATCGTCTCCGGACGACCCTGAAGAGTTGTGACACCGGGTCGTCTCCATGCTGCTCACAATAGACGACGCAACCCTGAAGAGTTGTAACACTGCATCGTCTCCGTGCTGTACCTTGCTGCCCACAATAAACAGACGACACTGAAGACACTGTGTCGTCTCCATGCTGTAACACTACGCCACTTGTCCCGGCTCTCACTCCTTCACTCAGGAAACCTGTTCGACTGTCCCCCTGGGTCGGGACAAGGAAGGAGCAAGGCCAAGTTCTCACCTTCTTTTTCTCCCAAAGAAGCAAGAGGCCCTGGGGGAAGTAAGAGTCAAGATCATCCTCAATATCATTTCTACTTCTGAAGCACTTTCAAATTCCAAGTAGATATAGGCAAAGAAAACTTTATTTGTAAAAAATAACATATTGGCTTTACAGGAGTCCGTAGCTAAAAGATTTACAAATATGATGTTGGGAAGTTGGGTGAGGAAAGTCAATAATTATAAGGTAGGTCTGTAATTTCGCACCAGAACTTCTTCCAGGATCCATGCTAAGTGGTCATTGGTCCAATTTTAAATATCTCACAGAGTATCGGCAGTAAGTGAATATGTCTTTAATTTTTAAAAATGAACAAACTTCCTAGCACTCCTAGAATTTAGATAGTCTATTTTCTGTATGAAAACACATCACCTACCCTAGTTAGCTTACAAATATAATCCAAAATTTTTTTCAAAGTCCCATATTCAAGTATGAAAATAAATACATTAAATAGAAAAAATAAATAAATATATTAACTAAATAAATATATTCAATAGTAGAAAAAATATTACAAAAAAATCTTATAAAAGTAGGATCTAAATTAAGACTGGGGACACATAAAGACAACCACATAGTAAGCAAATAGTAAATAAATAATATATGCCAAGCCAGCACTAAATGACATGGCAAAGAGATGGTGGATTGGGGTCATGTCTCCGTGCGTATTCAGAACTGGGACTGTTGACCAGAAACACTCTCAACAACAGCATCACTTTCTTCTATTTTGTCATCTCCATCCATCGCAGAAGAATGTCTAGTTCCCCCAAAGCCTTCACTACTGCTGCCTGGGGATCAAGCTGAAAGAGACACACAAACACTTGTGTGGTTAGAGACTCATAAAGAGACAACATTTGTTCAGGGTGAATCCTCCCTCTTATTGGTAGTCCTTTGGGGATTGTTAACAGAGCCCTCTTTCCAAGGTGAAGAGCTGGAAAGAAGAAGTCATATAATCTCATATGAGGGGCCAGGAGGAGAGGCACAGTAGTAATGCAATTCGACCCACATGGGAAGGTCCCGAATTTGGACCTCAAGGCCTTGCTAAATCACTGGGTGTGAGCACATGTGTGCCAATAATCTGGGCTGGCTGAAACTGGGGGTGCAAAGACCTTGTTGGGGGTCCCTGTCTTTCTCTCTCTCTTTTTCTTTGTATAAATAAATACAAATTTAAATGGTGTAAATAAAAAAAGATCTCACGTGAGGAAAGGAAATAATGGATTCTTTCCCTTTGGTTTCACATAAGGACACTGAGGCCCAGGGAAGCAAGAATCAGAGAATCAGGTTATGCCTCTTGAATCACAGAGATCAAAGTAATTAAGCTGTTTTCTTTAACAAAGAAGTGTGTGTGTGTGTGTGTGTGTGTGTGTGTGTGTGTGTGTGTGTAGAGGGGTTGCCTACTGTACATGCTTCAATTGAACAGATATTAATTATGCTAAGCATTGGGCCAGTGGCTAGGGACTCAGAAGTGAATGATACAGTATTTATCCACAAGAAATTCACACTTGAGTAAGGGAGAAAGGCAGAGGTACTAACTAAAATGTAGCATGGAGAATAAATTATCGAATCCTCAAGACAACAGGGAAGGCATATAATTCTGAGAGGAGAAGTCAGTGCCTCCCTGGAGGTGATGTCTAGGCTGAGTCTAAAAGATGAGTTAGAGTTTCTCAGTGACAAATGGACTTCTGACCTTCCTGTCAGATTGCAAAGGTATTGAGGTGATAAATAGTCTGGCATAGGTGTGTATGACATTGTAAGTGACTATTTTTGAGAATATATGTGTGTGTGTGTGTGTGTGAACATTGGAAAGCAATTATCTCTTATTTATGCAATTGAGAGGTCCAGATGTCTCTGAAATGAGTTGATGGGATTATGGCCATTTCCCTTCTAGTCCCAGAGCATTCTCTAGAGAGAGGGTTTTTCTAGAAACCAGAAGGATGTCCCTTGGGTTTAAGCAAAGGTTGATCTGCATGACTTCAGAGAGTCATGAACCTGAGAGTTATAGAATTTCTACCAGTATAAATAGTCATCCCACCCATCAATCATGTGAGTTCTAAAAACACACCCATCCCAATCAATGCCAAAATTGCATATACCTCTTTGAAGTGACTCAGAATCTGACTGTATTTCTTCATTGCTTCCTCTCCACAATGGCATGTCATGTGATCATGCTGAAAGAAACCCAAAGAATGATGAATTTTATGAAAGATTCTGATTTTTCTGCCCTTTCCATTGACATGAAATGAGTAGGAACTCTACTCTCTCATCCACAGCCCTATAGATACTCACTTCTATAAAAAAAGTCCTTTCAGACCTCATCATTTGAGATCATTAAAACAAATCATCAGCTAGAAGAGGAAGGCAGATTTTTAAGCTCAAATATGCAAGTCAATGCTTCTTTTTAGAAGCAGAGGTGATGAAGGATTCAGGATGTACTACTTGGCCTTCCTACCTCTCCTCAGTTCTAATCTAAGAGCTTCTGCCCAGAACTCCTCTGAACCTCCACGGAAAGAAAGAATTGGACTCATAGGTCCTGTTCAGACTACATTTTGCAATGGAGTCCAGAGGCCTCTTGACTGGCTGCCTGGACACAGGATGCACTAGTACCATAGCATATCCCACCTACTAAAAAACCATAATCTCAATATGTCATTACCACTAATATAAAGTAATTAACATTCTATAGTTCTTTTGACTTTGCAAAGTACTTATTGATCAAAACATATACCCAAGAGTCAATAAAAATGAGTTATTGGGACCAACAGATAGCCTAATGGTGACATAACTAGACTCCCACGTAGTTGGCTGCAGTTCGAGTCCCAGACCTGGAGGCTTAAAACGCACGCAGGGCTCATGTGTGTGTGTGTGCCCAAAAATCCTGAGAGCAGAATGGAGGAGAAGGGATTATGGCATGGCCACCGCCCCTCTACCCCCAGTGGGGATGATACCCACTTTCTGTCTCTCTGTCTCTCCAATGATTGCACACACTCTATAGCAAAAATCTCTCTTAAAAAAAATGAATTCTTATCACCTAGTCACATGGCTTACCACAGATTATTAGAACTTTTGGGTTCAATTTCTCCATCTATTAAATGGGGGATAGGAGAGATCTTAGTTGTTCAATCATTGATGCTATCTGCTAATGGATCTTGTTACCTAAAACCCTCACTCACACAGAGCCGAAGTTCCTTCTTGATGGTAAGGAAGGAATTGGCAAGACTGCTGATCTTCCGGAGGATATGATGGTCAGGGGTCTGGTAGTTTTTGAATACTCTGTCCAGATACAGTCTCAGTAAATGGCGGAGGAGACAGCACCGATCAGCAGGCTGCAAAGAAGACAGTAGTGTATGGGTAGAGCGACAGGAGAGACAAGCCCAGGGCGACGGCCACTTCATACTTCCTCCCAGAGCCCCACTAGGTCAAGTACATACCTTTGTGTCTTGCAAAGAGTCAGTCGTCCTTAAGATTCTGATGTCAATGTTTTCATCTTTGGCTTGCTAAACAGAAGAAGGCAAGAAGGCACAAGTCAGCGACTGCTGCCAGGATCTTAGACATCAAGACCTCTGGTCGCCTCCCTGCCAAAACCCAGTAAGAGGCATCCCTTTCCAAAACACTTTTAAATGGTGAACCACCTACTAAAAAACCATAATCTCAATATGTCATTACAACTAATATAAAGTAATTAACATTCTATAGTTCTTTTGACTTTGCAAAGTACTTATTGATCAAAACATATACCCAAGAGTCAATAAAAATGAGTTATTGGGACCAACAGATAGCCTAATGGTGACATAACTAGACTCCCACGTAGTTGGCTGCAGTTCGAGTCCCAGACCTGGAGGCTTAAAACGCACGCAGGGCTCATGTGTGTGTGTGTGCCCAAAAATCCTGAGAGCAGAATGGAGGAGAAGGGATTATGGCATGGCCACCGCCCCTCTACCCCCAGTGGGGATGATACCCACTTTCTGTCTCTCTGTCTCTCCAATGATTGCACACACTCTATAGCAAAAATCTCTCTTAAAAAAAATGAATTCTTATCACCTAGTCACATGGCTTACCACAGATTATTAGAACTTTTGGGTTCAATTTCTCCATCTATTAAATGGGGGATAGGAGAGATCTTAGTTGTTCAATCATTGATGCTATCTGCTAATGGATCTTGTTACCTAAAACCCTCACTCACACAGAGCCGAAGTTCCTTCTTGATGGTAAGGAAGGAATTGGCAAGACTGCTGATCTTCCGGAGGATATGATGGTCAGGGGTCTGGTAGTTTTTGAATACTCTGTCCAGATACAGTCTCAGTAAATGGCGGAGGAGACAGCACCGATCAGCAGGCTGCAAAGAAGACAGTAGTGTATGGGTAGAGCGACAGGAGAGACAAGCCCAGGGCGACGGCCACTTCATACTTCCTCCCAGAGCCCCACTAGGTCAAGTACATACCTTTGTGTCTTGCAAAGAGTCAGTCGTCCTTAAGATTCTGATGTCAATGTTTTCATCTTTGGCTTGCTAAACAGAAGAAGGCAAGAAGGCACAAGTCAGCGACTGCTGCCAGGATCTTAGACATCAAGACCTCTGGTCGCCTCCCTGCCAAAACCCAGTAAGAGGCATCCCTTTCCAAAACACTTTTAAATGGTGAACTAAAGATAGCTCTTGGGAATGCATGCTCCCAGTAGGAGGTCTCTGGCCTGCCTCTTTTTATGATCCCGCTTTAGGGCTGCCAGGGGAGGAGAGACAGACTAGTAGGGAAGAGGAAAGACTGCCAGGAAAGATGGAGGCCTTCCTTACATACCACACTGCCCCGTATCTCAGAAAATCCTTTTTGTAATTGTTGAAGGTTCGTGGTGATCACACAGCTTCCCAGATGGAGTGTCTTTAGCCCAGCAGAAGGTGTCCAGAGCAGACAGAACACAGCAGAGAGGAGGCTGAACGCAAAACCAGAGCCTCTCATCTTCTGTCTGGAACCTGGAGACCACAAGAGCTGAGGATTCAAAAGAAAGAGAATAATTTACTGATGTCCTGTCTCAGCCTGAAGAAGCCAGTCCAGCCACTACGGGACGTGTCTCTCCCAAGTGTCCACAAGGGAAAAACTAAACGGCCTTATCTGGCTCCAAACGATGTGGCCCGTTCATAAGACTTACTAAGGAAAACCTCTGAGACACGTGAAGAGAAAACTTTAAGAGCCCGTTCAGGGTCTGAGTGTGAGTTGGTGCCCCAAGTCCTGGTTCCTTTATTCGGTCCCCATCCCAGCTGCACAGTCACTGCCCAGGAGGTAAATACATTGAGGATGACACTTTAGGGGAAATGTCAAAACCTGTTTTGGGGAATTGACGTATAGAGCTTTCCCTTCCAGAAAGTCAACGTAGCTCATCCGTTGGTCTCCTCAGACTCACCAGGGAAACTGGGGAAAAACAGAATCTCACAGAAGCCAGTGGCTGCTGCATCACCACATCCACCTGGGGGAAATTGTCTTGATTTTATGGCTACCCACAAGGCAAAGGAGCTTGGCTCTGTTTCCACATTCATCTGAGATCATACTCCTTATTTGCGGATAATAGATTCATTTCATCCCCAAGGCAAATAGAAAGTCAATGGTTGCTTAACAATCCTACTGTCAAGGATAGGCAAGACTGATGGGCAATCGGCCTGGTCCTACCCAGCACTGCTCCGCCCTCCTGATGCGTCTGGGACTGCAGTGCCCTCTGACGAGGACTGGAATCAGACACTGCTGGGTAAATCCGAGAGCATACTCCTTCCTGGACATTAATTTAAGTCCAAGGTCAAGTGAGGGACCTCAAGAGAAAGGGAAGAAAGGCAGAAAGGGAGCCCCTGTCTTCTTGTGGTTTAAGACTGCCCAGTAAGCGGGCACTCTATAGTGCCTGCTGAATTTAAAAATAAAATGACCCTGGGCTGCAGTCAGGGTAAAGGAAGTGAGGCCCTCACCTTAGGTGCATAATTTAAGAAGGCATTGAAAACCTCAGTGGTCGAGGAAAAGAATATTCTAAAGTAATACCAAAATGAATGAAAAAATACTCCATGAATAACAAAATGTTTAATAAAGACAGACTCTGATAATGCCATGCCAAGCCATATTGGAAGGAAAGCAAACATATGCATCCCCTGCGTATGCTTTTGTGTATTGTTAGTGGTCAGCTTTTTTTCTCAAAAGTGTATAATCAGGGGCCGACAGGTGGTGTGGTGGTTGAGAGTGCTGGACTCCCACATGACTGACCATGGTTCGAGTCCCAGACCTGGTGGCTTGCTCTCTCTCTCTCTGTCCCTCTCTGGTCAAATTAAAAATAAGTAAATAAATAAATAAAGTTAATTTTTTAAAAAGTGTATAATCAAAATATTGATGAGTCTACTTTCCTTAAATCCAGGAAAGTAAAATTATAATAAATTTTATTTGGGGCATACATGAAATGTTAAAATTTAAAATAATGCTGTGAGTTATAATAAACCTACTACTTAATTTTTCAACATTTTTTTCAACTACTTTAATATTTTGGGGGAAAAGTATATAAAATACATAAAGACATGGAACCAGGTGGTGGCACAGCAGTAATCAACTAAATGTACATAAGAAAAGTCCTAAGATTGCGTCCTGGAGCTTCCCCAAGAGCACTGGGTGTGTGTGCCATCAGAGACCAGGAGTGGATCACACTCTGATAGTGCCACGCCAAGCCATGTTGGAAGGAAAGCAAACATATGTACCCCTGGGGGTGCCTGTTTCTCCCTCTATATTTCCCCCCAAAAGAAATGAATAAATCTATTTTTAAAATACATGAAGATTTTACACACACACACACACGGATGCACGCCTTTCCTTTCCCCTTGGCTCTGTGTTTTGGCCTAGCACTGATGATCCTTACGTGCACTAAAGCTTTCCTCTGTGCCAGGCAACACACAAGATATTTTTAATGCTCATAGCCACCCGAAGTGCTGCCAAGTATAGAAAAAGGGAACGATCGAACCAAACCCCAAAATATCAGAAAGAACTCTGGATTTGGATACAAGAGATCTGTGTCCAAATAAATCCCAACTCTATAAATCCCCATTTGTATAGTTCATCCCAGTTTTCCCAAGACTGAAGAGGCTTTCTGGATATGGAGATTTCAGTTTGAAAACTAAAAAAGTCACAGGTAAACCAGAATGAGTTGGTCACCCTAAATCCAGGCAACCTTGGACAAATCACTCACCTCTGAGTCATATTCTTAGCCTCTTAGCCTGAAAATGCTAATAATTCAACAGACCCTAGAAACTGGTTTTGAGATTTAAATAAAATAAACTATGATTCATACATTCAGCACCTAGAGAAGAATCCATTCATTTTAAGTAGAGATCGATGTTAATTGTTTTGAACTTAGTGGGTGCCCAGTAAATCTCTCTTAAAGTCAACGATTCAATGAGTACTTATTGAGCACTACTGTCCTGAATGCTGTTCTAGGTACCTGAGTACAAAGGCAAACAAGAGAGTTCCAGCCCAAGCAGCACACACTGGTTCATGCTGCCATGTGAGAGTCCAAGGTTCAATTCCCAGTCCACCCTAAGAAGCCAGGTGTAGTGGCACATACCTGCAGTACCAACTACTCAAAAGGCTAGGCAGAAGGACTGTGAGTTCGTGGGCAGCATAGGCAAAATAATGAGGCCCTGTCTGAAATAACCAGGCACAGTGGTATCAACCTGTAGTCCCAGCTACTTGGGAGGCTGAGGCTGGAGAATGGCAACTGAATGAGAATCTCTTAAAATTGTGTATAGATGGGCCAGTAGATGGTGTTGCAGTTACATTGCTGGACTCTCACATGGCCGACCACAGTTCAAGTCCTGAATTTGGTGGCTTCAAACTGCCCTAGATCCCAGGAGGAGAATAAAGGAGAAGGGATTACAACATGGTCATTTCCCCAGGGAGTGAGTTCTCACTTTCCCTCTCACAGTCTCTGTCTCTCTTCAGAGAATGCACACACCCTAAAACAAAAACTTCTTTTAAAAAACAAAGTATAGATAGGTAAGACGATTCCTTGTCCTCTTTAGTAATTTGTCCTCATGGAAAAGGCTACTCTAGACCTGGTTCTGAACAAACCTGGATAAACAATTGGGAGAATGGATCGATCCCCAGAACAATATGAGCAGTGCTGATAGAGGGGAAGGTCTCACCTGAACTCGGGGTTGCTGCTTCTGTCTCCTAGGAGTCTATTTCAAGCCAACAGGTTTTCAATTCTTTATATACTGTCACATGAAGGAAATGAGCTTGGGCAGGTGAGGGCTGGAACTCCCTTGGAATTTCTCTGGTAGCTTCGACTTCCTCAAGTCCTGAAGGAGCTTAATTGCAGGCTGGATTACCCCAACATCCACCTCCTCCAAGAAGCACTGCCCCAGGGGATTCCTGGCTGCACCTGTGGATAAAGGATGTGCCTCCTTCTGACTCCACCTTTCTGGTTGGTAAATTGATAAGATCAGGAAGATCGAATTACAGAACTGGTCCAGGGGGTGCTTTTGGCCTGTCCTCTAAATCTAGTTCTTAACTAAATTTCTCCCCAACCCCCGATATGGCAGGGGGGTTCCTGTCGTTTCTCCTCTGCATTTGTTATTCCCACCCTTATGGCCCACCATGGAGACTCTTCTTTCCTCCATTCATCTTAAACACTCAAATCCAATATTTCTGGACTACTTTAGGATACACCAATTCCTCCTTCTCTGACTTCCAATGCAGATACTTTGACACATGAGAGCAACTAATGCTACCTTCTGCTTCATGGGCCAAGCCTAGCTTCTTCACCCTAACGACTCTGGAAGATTTCCTTCCAAGAGGACTGTCCCTCATGAAGGGCCACCCTTCCAGGCTAAATGAACTCAAAGCACTGTGATGAAGTACAGACAATGCTTTGAAAAAACTATCAAGATGGTAGAGACCATAATATGTCGCTTTTCAACTCTCTTCGTACTGAATATCTGAAACTCGGAAGTCTTATATTTGAGTCCAGGATCCCACAGTTTACAGGATGACTTTGGCATACCATGTCATTGCTCTGGATTCAGTTTCTAAGTCTGTAAAATGAGAACAACACCATAGATACTGTATAAGGTCCTTTCCAGCTCTAACGGTCAGTGATTCCTAACTCTTCTACGTTTCAGATCAGAACATTCTTTTGGGGACCAGCAATTGTCGTAATGGCTATGTCACTGGACTCCCATGTAGTCGACTGTGGTTCAAGTCCCAAACCTGGTGGCTTAAACTCACGCCAGGCACGTGTGCATGCATGCCCAAGATTCCAAGAGGAGAATGGAGAAAGGATTGTGGTGTGGCCATGCCTCCCAGGGGGGTGATTTCTCGCTTTCTGTCCCTCTGTCTCTCTTTGTCTTTCTGGCAAGTGCACGTGCCCTATAGCAAAAAACCTCTCCAAAACAAACAAACAAACAAAAAACAGAACATTCTCTTAATGTCTTTCAATGTCTTCTTAAAGTTCCCTGAAAACAAAGACCGTGATTTTTCATTGTAATACCTGATAAATGTTGAAAATATTTGTATCTAACCTAAATATCTCTCTCTCTTTTTTTAATAGAGTTGGGATTTTTTAGTTTGTTTGTTTGTTTGTTTGAGAGATTTTTGCTATAGGGCACGTGTGCTCACCAGAAAGACAGAGAGAGGCAGAGAGACAGAAAGCAAGAAATCACCCCCCATGGGGGATGGCCATGTTGCAATCCCTTCTCCTCCATTCTCCTCTCTAGATCTTGGACATGCACGCACACGTGTCCAGCATATGTTTAAGCTACTGGGCCCAGGACTCAAACAGCAATCGACTACATGGGAGTCCAGCGACATAGTCATTATGCCAACTGCTGGTCCCAAGAGAGAAATTTTTGCTATAGGGTACATGTGCTCACCAGAGACACAGAGAGATATAGGGAGTGAGAAATCACACCCCAGAGGGGATAGCCACACTGCAATTCCTTCCTCTGTATTCTCCTTCTGGGATTTTGAGCACGCGTGCACACACTCTCCAGCGTGAGTTTCAAGTCTCTGGATCTGGGACTCTAACTACAGTCGCCCATGTGGGAGTCCAGCAGCTTAACCACTATGCTACCTTCTGGTCCCATCTCTTAAACTATTTAAGCTCACACTCTTTTTTCTCTTAATGGTGGTAAGTAAACAACTTCTCACAATCATCTTAAGTGTGATTAAAATAAAATTTGGAAACCTGTCCTGACAATACTTGAAATCAGTACTTTCAATCTATCTTGGCTTGTACAGGCCGTATGATGCAAGCTGATTTCTTTCCCTTAACCAAGAAGAACCCGCTTGCTGTATTTGAAACGGCCTATGATGATCATATTTAGTTACTCACCCACAATCCTGATTTTACTTTATAATCAAGTCTTCACTTTTCCTATATCAAAATACTTTAGTTTTTTTAAAAAAAATCCACTGACTAGATCCTATATCACACTCTATACAAACACTGATTCAACTCATTTTCTTTACAAAACTTTGCCTGCCTCACCCTCCCCTTCTCCCCACTCCCACTTCCCAAGGTGAAAATGACTCCTTCCACCTTTTCGTCTCAACTTCACTTGCATGTGCCGTTTTTGTACTTCTTACTTCAATTCCACTTTTTGGTTGCATGTCTGTATCTTCCAGCAGCCTGAGACATCTTTGTTCATTCCCATGAGCCCACCCAACGGCTCCTAGTAGCCATTCGGTTAATACTGGATGACTATTGAATGAACATATTGATTTATAATTGCTCTTTTACTGCTATATCCTAAAGCATGAGTCCCATAATTTAACTTACGAAGCAACAGGGGTTTCCTTGCTGC